TAAACTTAATCATTTTATTTTCCGCATTATACGAGCGACGACATACATAGACTGAAAGATGACCATTGACGGTACGTCTGTTTGGAATGCTTCTAAATTGAATACTTCTAAATGGAAGTACTCCAGATTAAATTTCCATTTGGATGTACACGCCATTTTGGAAGATGCCCACTCCATTTTGTTTAATGGAAGTATAGTCAATGGGCACCTTAAAGTAAACAACTTTAGAATATTTGTATTTATAACAAATTTTCTATTAACAAGCAAATGGAAATAGTTCTAAAGAAAGTAAATGGGAATGACAGTAAAGGTACAGAAGGACAGGTGGATATGTTTGTTATAATACAAAGATGACGTCATCCGGGAGTGTGCGTCCGGGACATGTCAGCAACACCGAACAATGACATTAGGTAAGGTAAAAAGCTGTAGTGCCGAGTAACACTGTATTTTATGTATATATACATATTTTTTAATTTATTTAAGATAAAAGTGAGATCTTAGTCCATCTAATGGTATGGCTTAGAGAACAGAAACCTATCTGTAGGTTACTTTTACCTTGGTGACTATGCATATATTTTAACAATATTACGTTGGAAGAAAACATGTTTATGAAAATAAGTGTGAAAATTTAAATCAATACAAGAGTTAAAATAATTTGGCTTGTTATTCTCTGCATAGTAAAGATTTTACGATATATTTTAGGTCTTGAGGGTTAATTCCACTTTTTCCCACCAAATGTCTCAATGGTGGGACAAAGTGGACTCTTTAAAATGTATTCATGTACTTTTCCCCAATAATCGCTTCTTGGTGGGACAAATTACACTGTTATAATGGACCACGTCCATTTTTCCCCACTAGGGCTGGCATTAGCAAATTCTCAGATCTTGAAGTGTTTTTCAAGCAAAAAAATAATAATTAAAATTAAATATTTGTAATATATATAAGTCATAGATTTACATATTATTTATAACATTTTTCGGAGTTGTCTACAGAAATCACAGACAACGTTAATAAAAGCTTTACTTACCAGACGTTTCATAAAATGACCTCTTAAAAAGACAAATATACAACGATATACATGCCAAGAAGTATAATATAATACGGAATATTTTAGTCTGGTCAAGTTAAGTCAAAAAATAGGGGTAAGATACGAATGTTAGGTACACCATTATAAATTAAATGTGAAAAGTCACCATCCTTCCTACATCTGAAAAAATATTCAAGTTCAAAATTGTGTTTTTCATAGAATACATGGAAAAATAAATATTGGATCAACATCAGTCAGAAATATATTTATCCAAAAGTTTACCTGTTTTTTCAAAATGCCAAAATCACCCCCATAGAGGACGGAATTAAAGAGCTTCTGAAGGACTTCAAGTACCGGTTTTCCACCCGTTTTCAAAGCTCCTCTGTTATTCCATCCTCGCCCGGGGACTTTCCGTTTTTAAGGTGCTGAAGAACCATTCTAATCTCGCTCAGACTGACGTCCGGGATATCTTCGGAATAGTGTCGGATAAGACTCGCTCTTCGATCGTTACTCACATGACGTGTACAGCTGCCCATAGAACCTCTCAATCTCACTCAAAATCTTAGGTGTCCCGGAAACGATGTTGCCACATTCGGTCTTCAGCTTTGACAGTTGGCTCTTTCTGGCAGACAGATCTCAGGCAAAGACTTTGGAGCCTTGGTTCCGCTCGATCGTTTCTTCAATACAAGCTGTTTTGAAGTTGCGTAAGTCCCGTCGCATGCAATTGCAATTGAGATCTGTCTGTTCAGTTGCCTGTATGTTGCCAAATCTGTTGAAGAATGTAGCTTCATCTCCCGTCTAACAGCCATGGGATTAAGAGTTTGATCGGAGAGTTTTTGTGTTCTTCTGCGGCGGGTCTTGCAGAACTTAGCTCCGACCGCATGGACAGTTTCCACGAGCTTATCATTCATATCGTCCACTTCATTGCAGTCTTCTATGCTTTGAAAACGGTTTTGTAAATCGAGCTGAAATGTTTCGGAACTTCGGAAAAGAGCAAGAGGGGGACGGAGCGTTGACTTCATGAGACGAGACCTCTCCAACTTAACGTTTAGGTTCAGTGTGCCTCTAACCATTCGGTGATCGCTACCAGTTTTCACTCTCGCTATCACGGAGACATCACGGAATAGTTGTCGTCTGATCGTCTTAAATGAAGTCAATCTTATTTTTGTCGAACCGTCGGGGCTTGACCAGGTCCACTTCCTGTGGGGCCACTTCTGGAAGAAAGAGTTCATCATAAAGAGTCCCTCTTTCTCCATGAAGTCGGCCAGCTGCTGGCCCCTTACTGGTTCCGTTGCCCTATTCCAAATTTCCCTACTTTCAGCTCACCGTTTTCTCTTGTGCCTAGTTTTGCATTGAAGTCTCCCATTAAAACCGTATAGTTGGTTTTGGAGGAATGCATGGCTCTAGAGATATCCTCATACATTTCCTCCACCTCCTCATTTGGGTGTGCCGAGGTTGGTGCGTAAACCTGTATGACCTTCAGCGAATACCGTTTGGTGATTCTGAGTATAAGGTACGCAACCCTCGTCGACACACTCTCAATATTTACAACGTTGTTAACGAGAGACTTGTGGATGAAAAATCCGACACCTCCTTGGTACAGATGGTCGCCCTCCCGGTAATAGAGCAAGTTGCCGGATTCGAGGATTACCGTGTCGTAACCCTGTCTTCGGACCTCGGATTATCCTATAATATGCCAGCGTAACTTGTCTATCTCTTCTTCCAGCTCCACGATCTTCTCGTCAGTCCTCAGGGTGCGTGCGTGTTATGTTGGTAGGTCGAGTCGTCTTGGGTGGCAACCAAACCTCCACCGGAGATTCTTAGCACCCCCTGCCCCGCCGTTACCATGGTCGCCACCGTAACCAGGAATAGCGGGGCCGCCGGGGACTGGGGGCCGTCTCTTTGTTACTCTCATGATTGGGGGGTATATTGCCATAGTTGCCATGCTTGGCGAGAGGGTTGGCAACCGCAGTTTTTTTATTCTAATTTTGCTATTATCAGGAAGATGCTGCTGCCTATCTCCTGCCTGCTTCCCTTTGTCGCCTTTTACGACACCCACGGGAAAATATGGGGTAGTTGATATTCTTAACCGCCACTACACGGCATATGGGTTCCTTTGTTTTGTACCAAAACGGCAGAATTTATACAAAATAATATTTTGCCTATTGGCACAAAAATATCAGCCCAAGCATGTGTTGTTATCAACAATGTTTTAACATTTTTCACTGAAATGAAAAAGATTCCGACAAGTTACAAAGTGTTAATTTCCCACCATTTCTCAAATAGCCCACATAATGACAAAACTAAATACATTATCGATAACGCTTATCGATAACAATAATGCGCATCACTATGCTCGCCCCTAAGGCCCGTGAGTTAGAGAGAGAGCAAAATGCTCCGATGATTTATGACCCAAACTGCACGGACAAAATAATTCTAGTATAGTTGTTATTCATTCATTTATTGTTAATGTTAGCTGTAAGTTTTCTAAACAGAATAAAACAAAATAAAAATAGATTCTTAGAGGAAAAGGCTAAGATCTATTTTTATGATAAAACTTATCGTTTAGTTGAAAATGCGAAAATCCTTATTTTGCGAATTTTGACCTTGGATTTTATTTTTGCAGATGAAGTATCTATGGGGACTTCTCACATTGTATTTGTAATGGTGTTCCTAACATTTGTACCTATTTTTTAGCTCTTTACGAATTATTACTTACCCCTATTTTATGAGATTGCCAGCCCTAGTGGGGAAAAGTGGACGTGGTTTATTATAACAGAGTAATTTGTCCAACCAAGAAACGATTAGTGGGGAAAAGTAGACGAACACATTTTAAAGAGTCCACGATGTCCCACCAGTGGGACATTTGATGGGAATAAGTGGAATAAGCCCTCTAAAAAACATTATCCGTTAAGGGCATAATTGTAATTGCCATAAACATGTTTTTATTATTAACTTACCTAGTTTTGTAAAATATGTAAGGTATAAAATAATTAAGCAGTACGACCATTGCGTCCAAAACGGCACCATTGCCCACAAATTCATTTCCTCGCTACACCATCACTGGTATTTCACCTTTCAGGTTCAGTTATTTTATAACTAAAATCCACACTTCATTATCTATGGAAATATATAAATATGTTCCGATCATTTCTTCATTGTCTTGATTTTTTTACAATGGTGACTGCAACAAGAAAATAAAATAAAATTGGAAAAATGCGTGATGTAAAATTTCACTGTGAAAATTATTTCCAATATTTACCGTTTAAATACTACAGTTTTATTTAATATTAAGTATTCAACAACAGCTTTTTCCAAAATTTAACATTCTTAATAAAAATATATATATATAGGAGGAGGGGAGCATATTGCAGGACTTGACATGTTTGAAGATGTATACATAATTCACCTGTGTTGAAGAATTATGCTTCTTATATATATATATATAAATATCTAATTTATCTTATCCACATTTCTACATAAAATGACTCCAGGACTGTCAGACAGACAATTGAAATTGTAAGCTTATGACGGAAGAACCCCAACAACTCACTGAGTTTCAAAAAAAATTCTTAACCTTTTAGTATGGACGTGATATATTTTCAACACTAGTGCGGACGTGGAGTCTCTCAGGCTACTACATTCAAAAGCAACTTTTTTCTAGAAAACATTACCGCACATCGTCTTAGCCTTTCTATTCATAAATAGAGGTCTTTAATAAGAAAAAAATAGTAATTTGTAATCAACTTTCTTTATTATAATCATAGAAATATGAAAAATTAACAATCATGGCACTTTTTAAGACTTTTGGTAGGGTTATCATTTTAACTCACTCAATTTTACTAAATCTAACAATAAAACAAAATAAAACCTATTTATCCTCTAACTTAATGAACAAACGAAAAAAAAAACATAAAAGCTCTTTCTGACAAAGAAAAACAAAAATTCTGACAGCAGTCATAATATCTCTAAATTACTGGCAGTCAGCGCACAAAGGGCGAGAGCATTGTAGGCACACAGGCTTGCTGCACCCCACACAAACATAAATGGTCATTCTATGTTTTTTTGTGGGACATATTCTACATGCTCTTCTAGTTCCTTGACTGACGGGTGGTGTTTGGACATCTTCAGTTACCATATCTTTACCCAATATTCGAGCTATAGTTGACCTCAGCTCTCTCGGCAATTTTGTGTTTACAACACGTCTTTGCATATGCGGCACTACAAGGGAACGAGCCAATTCTTTTAGGAAATCTCCTCTTTCAACCTCTTTTGATTGATACATGTTGTAGAGAATGTATGCATTCATGCCACTTAGATCCAGCACTCGAAACAGTAACACCATTGTCCATCTCCGCGTACGGCGGCTACACGAGTAAATAGAACATTTTTTATCCGCTTCGTCAACTCCTCCTTTAGTAGAGTTGTAATAAAGTATTATTTCGGGTTTTATAGTATTTTGGTCTACTTGATCATCATGGTGCATGGAAGATATGAGTATTACAGCTCTATTTTTCTTAGGAACCCAAGAACATAACGTTTTTTGGTTCGTAAATCCAAATAAGGTAGATGCTACTTCTCGACGCTTATTTGGCTGAAATTCGATAGGTATCTCTCTTTTATTCTTTTTTACTGTCCCTACATACGTCAACTTTCGTTTTGCTAATTCATCTACGAGTTCAATAGATGAAAACCAATTATCAGCTGTGACGTTGCGGTTACTTCCTTGGATTGGTTTCGTTAGACGTAAGACGCACTGTGTGGGGACTAGGAATTTCTTTTCTTCTACTGTCAACCCAATACCATCGGAGTCTTTTCCAGAATATACATAGCCATTATAAAAATAAAAGTTCTTAGCGTCGCATAATGCTCGTATCACTAGACCATATTTACCTGGTTTTTTAGGCATGTATGATATTAGGTGACTTCTTCCACGAAACTTGACTAGCATTTCGTCCACAGTTACACATTCACTTAGTTCGTACAACTGTTGCGAACTACTTACGAACTTGTTGAAAATGGGGGATATAGCAGCTAACTTGTCAGTCTTTTTCTTCTCATCACGTTCATTAGGATCATCGAAACGAAGGCACAGTAACAATATAAGAAATCTGGTTTCCGACATTGTACACCTGAATATCTCACAGCCTGTACCATCTAATGCGAATAAGTAACTTGTGTCTTCGTGGTTCGACTTCAAAACAGCAGAATAAAATAGTAGACCAATAAACGCTTTCAGCTCAACTAAGTCCAAATCGTTCAGTTCAGGTCGATTGCTACGCGCGAACTTAGTTTTGTAGATATAAATTTTTGCATTAGTCCAGGTCAAAATTTGATGGAGCATTTCATCGTCGAATAACTTGTTCCATATACTGAATGGATCTTTCTCACAGTCGGCTGACAAGTTCGAAGAAGATGTACGAACTGATATAATATTGTGTTGAGATATACGTACTCTTGTTGACGGTGGCGTCTTTGTCCACTCATAACGATTTTTCCCATAATAATAGTTCGTGCGTAATTCAGAAAGTGGCGTGTCTGAATTGTCACTATCGACTGCATCTTCAAGGTCGTTGACCTCTTCACCTGAATCACTATCATGACAGTTTGTCGGGTCCGCCTCAGATACCAAGCAATTTTCAATATCTACCTCATCGTCTGACTGATCCAAAGCCAACAATAAAGAAGTTATTTCGTCTTCGAAAGATCGATCATCTAGTCGCATTTTTTTTCTCTGAGGTTGTTTTGCACTAGAACAACTCGCTTTAATATTTTCAGCCATTTTACATAACAAAATCTAAAACATACAGAGAAAATTGATCATAATATTTTACATGGCAACAGTGGACGTGGAGCCTGACAGGCTCCAGCCAATATTTCGATGAATATTACTCACGTGTTCTGCATCCAGCGACGTAACCTCCGCCCGCACTGTGTAGTTTGGAACTAAACGTAAAGCTACTGAGACGCTCGGGTGCATGGAGCGGGGGGAAGGGGGTCAAACCAAAAACTGGCGAATCGTGCGGAGCCTGTGAGACTCCACGTCCATACTTAAAGGTTAAGCAACCTTCTCTTGGATCATGTGGATTCGGGGTAAAAAAAACCTATAACTCTTTTACCCCGTACAGAAAATCTCATAAAGTGAAATATTTTGAAGGCTGCTTCCAAAAATTAACTTCAAAATTCCAACTTCTACTATCCCAACATCATATTAAAACATATTACCGTATTACGATGAAAGCCAAAATTAACATTTATAAATATACATAAACAGTGCTGTTATTAACATAGGCTCTTTCTTTCTTTTATTTTTTCTATAGTATTGACGATATGCCGTAACGGTCGGTACCTACTGGTGATCGCAATACCAGACACACTTTTGTATTTACTATACCTCACTTACCTGGTCTAATAATTTGACACAATAACATCTTGTATTTTGACAAATGCTGAAACCAAAAAAATCATCAATTGCTATTCCGCTCTTTATATTGGAGATCGTTAATTTAAAGGCATTTACCCTAATCAAGTATAACGATATTCTTGGGAAGAGATGGAGGTTAATGCGGTCATGGTGCTGCCATAACGTTAAATATTCATAGCTATGATCTCCTGTAAGCTATTACGATAAAAGGCCACGTGAACAAGAAGAGGCTTTCGGATTTTATTGGATTAAGTTACTTTTTGTATCCCTGAAACTGCTTCCTCACCTACTTCCGATGATATAAATTTCAATTTGTGCAATTGAATGTTAGGATAAAAATATGTTTTTGTGTGTCACTAAATCTTCCGCCGTGTAGTGGCGGTTAAGAATATCCACTACCCCATATCTTACCATGGGTGTCGTAAAAGGCGACAAAGGGAAACAGGCAGGAGATGGGCAGCAGCATCTTCCTGATAACAGCAAAAATACAATAAAAAAACTGCGGTTGCCAACCCGCTTGCCAAGCGTGGCAACTATGGCAATATACACCCCAAATGGATAAAGTTACTAAGAGACGGTCCCCAGTCCCCGGCGGCCCCGCTATTCCTGGCTACGGTGGTGACCATGGTAACGGCGGGGCAGGGGGTGCTAAGAATCTCCGGTGAAGGTTCGGTTGCCACCCAAGACGACTTGACCTGGCACCATACAACGCACGCACCCCGAGGACTGACGAGAAGATTGTGGAGCTGGAAGAAGAGATAGACAAGTTACGCTGGCATATAATAGGATAATCCGAAATCCGAAGAGAGGGTTATGACACGGTAATCCTCGAATCCGGCAACTTGCTCTATTACCGGGAGGGCAACCATCTGTACCAAGGAGGTGTCAGGTTTATCATCCACAAGTCTCTCGTTAACAACTTTGTATCTCTAGAGCCATGCATTCCTCCAAAACCTACTATTCGGTGTTAATGGGAGACTTCAATGCAAAACTAGGTACAAGAGAAAACGGTGAGCTGAAAGTAGGGAAATTTGGAATAAGGCAACGGAACCAGAAAGGAGCCTGCAGCTGGCCGACTTCATGGAGAAAGAGGGACTCTTTATGATGAACTCTTTCTTCCAGAAGCGGCCCCACAGGAAGTGGACCTGGTCGAGCCCCAACGGTTCGACAAAAATAAGATTGACTTCATTATGACGACCAGACGACAACTGTTCAGTGATGTCTCAGTAATCGCGAGGGTAAAAACCGGCAGCGATCACCGAATAGTTAGAGACACACTGAACCTAAACGTTAAGTTCTCCGGTCTCGTCTAGTGAAGTCAACGCTCCGTCCCCCACGTGCTCTAATCCAAAGTCCCGAAACCTTTCAGCTCGAGTTACAAAACCGTTTTCAGTGCCTAGATAACTGCAATGAAGTAGACGATATGAATGACAAGCTCGTCGAAACTGTCCATGCGGTCGGAGCTAAGTTCTGCAAGACCCGCCGCAGAAGAACACAAAAACTCTCCAATCACACTCTTAATCTCATGGTTGTTTGACGGGAGATGAAGCTACATTCTTCAACAGATTTGACAACATACAGGCAACTGAACAGACAGATCTCCAAATGCATGCGGCGGGACTTATGCAACTTCAATACAGCTTGTATTGAAGAAGCGATCGAGCGGAACCAAGGCTCCAAAGTCTTTGCCAGAGATCTGTCTGCCAGAGATCTGTCTGCCAGAGAGAGCCAACTCTCAAAGCTGAAGACCGAGTGTGGCAGCATCGTTTCCGGGGCACCTGAGATTTTGAGTGATATTGAGAGGTTCTATGGGCAGCTGTACACGACATCGATGGAGCCACACGTAAGTGTGAGTAACGATCCAAGAGCGAGTCTTATCCAACATTATTCCGATGATATCCCGGACGTCAGTCTGAGCGAGATTAGAATGGCTCACCAGCACCTTAAAAACGGCAAGGCCATAGGCGAGGATGGAATTACAGCGGAGCTTCTGAAAGTGGACGGAAAACCGGTACTGGAAGTCCTTCAGAGGCTCTTTTATTCCGTCCTCCATGGTGGCATTACGGCGACAACGCTCTCTTGAAGAACTACTGACCGATTTCCCTTCTGAGCCGCGTCTGCGTACTGTTTTCGAGAGTCATTACGAATCGTCTCGCGCGCAGATTTGACGACTTCCAGCCTCCCGAACAAACCAGTTTCCGAAAAGGCTTTAGCACCATAGACCACATACATACCCTTCGGCAAATTGTACAGAAGTCAGAGGAGTACAATTTGCCACTATGTCTGGCGTATGTAGACTATGAGAAAGCCTTTGATTCTGTCGAAATTTGGGCGGTGCTGCAGTCCCTTCAGCGGTGCCAAGTGGACTGTCGGTATATCGAAGTGCTGAAGTGCTTGTACAGTAGGGCTACGATGGTTATCCGAGTACAGAACCAAAGTACGCATCCTATCCAATTGCAGAGAGGTGTAAGACAGGGTGACGTCATATCCCCGAAACTCTTCACCGCTGCATTGGAAGACGTTTTCAAGCTTCTAAAATGGAAAGGATACGGTATCAACATCAATGGCGAGTACATCACTCACATTCGATTTGCCGACGATATAGTCCTTATGGCAGAATCGCTGGAGGACCTAAGCACTATGCTCAATGACCTCAATAGTGCTTCCCAACGGATAGGTCTTAAGATGAACATGGACAAAACAAAGATCATCAACCTATGCCGGTAGTTGTTGGGAGCACTAAGCTCGAAGTTGTTGACGAGTATGTTTACCTGGGACAAATAGTCCGACTAGGTAAGTCCAACTTCGACCGAGAGGTCAATCAACTGATTCAACTCGGGTGGGCAGCGTTCGGGAAATTACGGCACATCTTCTCGTCAGGTATACCTCAAAACTTGAAAACGAGACTATACAACCAGTGCATGTTGCTAGTGCTGACGGAACTGAGACGTGGTCCTTCACTGCTGGCCGGATTAGGAAGCTCAAGGTCGCTCACCAAGCTATGGAGAGGGCTATGCTCGGAGTTTCTCTGCGTGATAAACTCAGAAATGAGGATATCCGCAGTAGAATCAGAGTGACTGACATAGCCCAAAGGATTAGTAAGCAAAGGCAAGTGGCAATGGGCCGGCCATATAGCTCGAAGAACCAACAACCGATGGGGAAAAAAGGTTCTCGAGTGGCAGTCTCGTACCGGCAGGCGAAGTGTTGGGCGTCCCCCCCACTATATGGAGTGACGACCTGGTAAGTTATGCAGGAAGTCGATGGATGCAGGTGGCTCAGGACCGTGCTTTGTGGCATTCCTTGGGGGCGTTCTACGTTCAGCAGTGGACTTGTGAAGGGCTGTAATGAATGAATGAAGAAATGAAAATCTTCTGCACAATTGATAACTAAAACTCTCTGACAATCTGATTAGACGGATAAGTTTCGTGGCTTAAACCAAGCACCAGGGCATTATTACAAACGTAGTAGTCAAACTAATTAATCTTAAGTATTTACCCATTTGTCGCTTCAAAATTATAAAAGACTACTATGTGAAATTCCATGAAAATCTAACGGTATCCAGTTGATTGAGAAATAACCTTAAAACTTAAAATACTCAGTCCGGCTTCGATAGCAGCGTCAAAGATGGCACTGATGTCGTCAAACGACCTACCAGTTGTAACGATGAAGGCGTATCCTCCATGCAAATGTAGAGGCCAATTTCTTGTGGACTTTTATTGGCTGATGACAAAAAATATATCAGAACAAAACAAGCCCTGTAGTTGAGAAATAATGTTTGTTCAATTTAGCACACTGATAAATTGCAAAGCATTTATTGTTCGATTGTTAAATGTAATAAAATGTTCAGCAGAATTGTGCCCTCGTCTGGGATCAACGACAATTTACAATATTTGATACTTGAATGACCTATTCAGTCTGAGAAATATTTTTTAAAGAAAACTACACAAAAGGAACAGAAATACTGAACTTGAAAAAAATATGCGAATTGATTTTGAATTTTATTAATTCAATATTCTTTAATTTTATTTAATATATGCACGTTTCTTCTACAATAGCAACGTCAGCTTTCGATTAAGGATTTATTGTTTTATTTATATACTTTTTTTAACAAATGAATACCACAGTATAATTCAGCATACAGTCTATCAAAATGTTAAATAGATTGTCGGATGAAACTGCTCTCGTTTACATTATTATTGTGCATTTTTATATAAATTATTACTGTTATTTTGAAAAATGGTAAGTTATCACAAATCCATACGTATTAAAACTAAGCCAAACTAATGAAAATGCCCAAAAATTCAAAGAATATTGTCTTTTGTTTGAATAATAGAAAGCAGGATTGAAACGGCTACTTT